GTATGTTGATTATAGTAAGTTTAATGAGACAAGTTTACATTTGAGATGATATTACTTATTGAAAAACAGTAACCATTAATGATCTTTTTATTACTGACAGTGATCCTGTGGGGGTCACTCACATCATACCAGCAGAAATAGTATTGTGTTCACAGAAATAAAAACATACATGGAAATAACAGATAAAGCATGTTAAATTCTAAAGTAAAATCATACAATTTATTTCTTTTTGTGTACTGGTGTGTGCATATTTTTGGTTACAAGTGTTTTAAGGTTGTATGTGATAAAAGGAAGAAATCACTTTGCATTATGACAAGCAATATCCCAGAAAGAGGAGTTGGATGTCTTGACTTTTCAACAGTCGATAGTGAAGAAATTGAATTCAGTCTTTTAGCATGAAGTCTGTTTTCCAGCAGGAAATGTTTTTGTTGCATTCTGGGAAAACTTCTATTTTTAATTTTGGTTTTATTTAATTTATTTTAAACACAGTTTTAATGTTATATGTTTTATTTTATTTTATTTATAATATTCATTATTATTGTTTTATATTTTTATTTTTATTTATTAATAATAATGTCCCTACAATCCTAGGTCCTTATCTACATTTCAAAGGTTCTGCTAAAGTCTTGTCCATGTGGAAGGTCCTGTACTACCTGCAATTATATTTGAATTTTGTTAGCTTCAATTTAATTTTGGGAAATAGTCACATTGGGGTTGGGCTTCTTTTTTTTTTTTTTTTAATATATTTTCTGGTGTTTTTTTTAGCAATTGGTTGCCCTGTAAGCTCATCATCTTGAAACAACACTTGATTATCCTTGAAACGTGTACCACACAAAAAAAAACTTTAACCAAAAGAATGTTTACTGAAAACCTGATTAAGCATTTCAAAGGTCAGAGGAAGAGTTTTACTGAAATTTGCATAAAATTTGATTCAGGCAGGCTGCTTGAATTTGTCAGCTATTGTAAATATTTTAGAGAAATTCAGACACAAATCCTAAACAAAAGCATGAAGACTATTGGCAGACTGACTCAGCAAGCTGGGTGCCAATGAACATTAGCAGCATGTTGCTTTTTTTCTTGAATCATACAATAATAATATCACCTTGTAAAATTTAGTTTTGGCAAAAAACTAAAAAGTCCTGTTTGGCTACCTTTGGGCAAAATATAAAGCATTGCAATTATAACAGAACATGATAGATTGTTTTATTAAATAAATATATTAATATCATAATAGCAGTGTAAATTTGCAAAGAATATTTATATAATATGTGAGAAAATCCAATGTCATGTAAATAAAATTAAAACCAACATGCCTAAAGCTATGCAGCATTGAAAAACTGGTTCCTGTAGGATCACTGAAATTAAGCAATGTCGAGCCTGGTCAGTACCGAGATGAGTGACCACTTTGAAATACTAGGTGCTGTAAGTTTGGATGTCGGGTGGTGTAATGGATAATGGTTCAGAATTGTTAATCAGAGAACCAAGTTCTAATTCCAGTTGTATTTGCTATATTCACTTATGTACAAATACCATTATTCACCACTTTTCGTCACCTAGCTTTGGATTAATTAGTAAGAATTGTGTCACTAAACCATTATTATCTCAAAAAAAAAAAAAAAAATTCTTAGCATCTAAAAAATATTTTCAGGCTTTAAATAACCTACAAAGGGTTGATAAGTTGTAGAAAATGAATAAAGCAATCAAAAAAAAAAAAAAAAAGAATTTGACAGTAGTCATTTATAAAGTTATATGTTTTTCCCCCTTACAAAACCCGACCATAACCTAAAAATATGTTAAGTTGATTGTTACTTGTTTTACTGATCTTCTTTTATTTGGTTGTAAGTTGGTTTCAATTGAACATGTTATTTGACAAAAGTAAGCAATTTATACACTTTTCACACTCAAGAAAAACTTGACCCCAGAAGCATGACGCAATTTAAACTATTTAAGTATCCACTCAAAACACACACTTAATGGTTAAAGATCACAGAAATTCTACTTAAAATTTTATAAATATCATAAAAACTTTTCATTTAACCTTGAAAATATAAAACAATTTTAGATCATCTTTGACAGTTATGTCTTTGGTTGAAAGTAAATAAGTAAAAATTAGGATCAAACAAAAATGGTGATGACAGCTTTACTACAACTTTAATGAAGTGACAGATTTTGTCAAGTTATAATATGTGTCCAGAGAAAATAATAATACAAAAAAAATCACTAATTGGAAAAGTTAAAACTGCAGAGTAATTGGGCATAGTTAAATATAATTGTCAGAAATGCTCCCAAAACAGAATTGATAACATTTCCAATAAACAATAACAAAAGAATGAAAAGAATAGGGCAAAAATAATATGAAGTAAACACACACACACACTATATATATATATATATATATATATATATATATATATATATATATATATATATATGCTGGACTCTGTCGTATTTGACGTCAAACAGCTCAGGAACTGACAGCCAGACACCAGCACATAAGATTTGATTATAGTGGTGAAGACTTTGTGCAGAACCAATCACATTTTGAAGTGCCAAATACAGATATTTGGTGCATTATGTGCCACAAGTTCGCCAAACAACACTCCGCAAGTTTTTGAATTCAGAGTTGTACTTCTCCTAGACTAGTTGCCATCCAACATTACAGAACCCAGTCTGTCCTGTCATTTACCCATAGCTGGAGGAGGAAGAAGAGGATTAATACCTTTCCCAAGGGTATTAGCACATAAGTGAATGCAATTGATTCAACTGTAGTGTAATTCGAACTTGGCTCTCAGATTCCACAATCTGAACTGCTCCACCATGGTTGTGCTATATATATATATATATATATATATATATATATATATATACACACACATGAATTATTCACACAAAAACTAATGCAAAGGTTAATGATTTTAAATATCAAACATCCATCATTGCCAAACAATTCAAAAAACAGTAACCTCATTTTCAATTATGAATGAAACAACAATACATTTATTTAAATTTCCTCTTATTAGTAAGAGAAAAAACAAGAACAACATTTATTCTGTTCCTACAGAATCTTCTGTAGGAACAGACGTTGTTCTTGTTAGCAAAAAAATAAGAACGAAAATATATGCAGAAATTTATATAAACAAGGATCATTTATTTTTAACGGAAATGGAGGTTTTTGTATATTATTTGAATTGTTTGTAATGATGGATGTCTCGCCATTTAAATCATTAACCTTTGCATTAGTTTTTGTGTGAATAATTCATGTATTTGTAAATTGATTGCACGTTTATTTATTATATATATATATATATATATATATATATATATATATATATATATATATGCAAGACAAAAGTAGTCAAAGCAACAGTAATAAGGCAAAAAATTTGAAAAGTAAATGGTGTTACCACATGAAAGTTAATCACAGTTCTGACTTCAAGATAAGAAAGAACAAGAATATGATGGATGAGACCAAGAAGTGTTCTATCTTATTGGCTCTCAGGAAATCCCATGTTTTGTCTATAAATTTGGACGAGGTGTTTTTGCAGTCGTTCCAACTAGATTAGAACTAATGCAATGCAATATTTATCATTTACTAATCCATAAAGAAAAAACAAATATGAAAACAATTTTTATTCATAAATTTTTAAACATTTACTAAATTATAAAAACATATGAACCAACTTGTAATGACAAAAGTACACAGGTGTAGGCTTTAAGAAAACTTTATTCTACTGAGAATACAAGGTTCACGTATAGTGTCTTTTTATAGTCCCAGTAAACAGAGGTAGCTCTCTCTCAAAGAAGAGAGTAACAAAACAATGGGAGACCACTCTTGATTATCCATAACACAACTATGAAGAAATCCTTATTATTTACCATTTTATGAAATTTGCATCAATTGGCAGCAGATGCTTTGTCAACCATTTCAATAATAATATAATAAATAAATAATGTAAATAAAATAAACAATCTAATAAATAAATAATATTTATTATTTTTGTTGTAAATTCTCAAAAACAAAGAAAATGTATAAATTCACTTTCATATACTTAAATCTTATTTCAATTCTAATCATTTTTGAAACATTACTGAAATGTAAAGGTAGTTAAAACAGTGGTATCATGGGGGAAAAGTGGCCTTTTGACTGTATCTTATTGTGGGCATGTCTATCCATGTTTGCCAAAAAGACATTATCTATTTCCAAGCAACAGGTATTTATTTATTAACTTATGCTACTGATTTATAAGATAGTTAATCAGTTTTTCTTAACATCCTATTATTTTAAAGCAAGTTATAATAATATTCTTGCAAAACTACAGATTCACTCTTTCTTCATAGTACATCTGTTTTTCATTGGATTATTAAATTTTTACTGTATTGTTGACAGTAACGATCTATGTTCAGTTATTATATTTGTGGCCAATTGTTATATTTCCAATGTTGTTATACTGCTTTGGTGTTTAAATTAAACCCTTGTAAGCATATGAGGTTTGTACTGATATGATATTCCAAATACATTACATCTGTTGGATACTAAGACTTTGTTTAGCCCAAGTCAAGTTGTGACAAAACCTTTAAAACTAGAATGTGTAATCTCTCATTGTACTCCAACTTACTACCTCTCTGTCCCATAATAGTTGTTATATTTATTTTATGAAATATATATAAATGTATCTATTATTATCAGACAGTTTATATACTTCTGTCCACTGTATTCTTGTTCTCAATAATGAGTCTCAATATTACTGTTCTCAATGGATGACTTCCACTGTACTTTATATATACTTTACTCACAAACTGTTGTACTAATCTTGAATTAACTTGGAGACAGTTTTAATTCTTGATGATATCCTTGATATACAAGTTGTATCGTTTGATAACTTTGAACTGTGTTGTAAGTTGGTTCTATTTTGAATATCAACAGATACAAGAGCCTTATTTGTTTTTGATGTTATTTGAAAATTAATTAATGAATTTGTATGGGAGATATAAATGACTCTTCAATAAATGAATTTATAAATGGCAAAGTAAACTGTATAACTGTTAATGTCTTTCTGCAGAAAGGTCTTAGGTTGATGGGAATTAGAGAGAGAGCAAAGAAGGACAATAGTGATGAGAGAGAAGAAAAAGGAGGATAATGTTAATGAGAGAGAGAAAAGATGGATAATATTGATAAGAGAGTGGAAAGAAGAGTTATCATGGTGATGAGAAAGAAAAAGGAAAATAAGAAGGAAAATGGTGATGAGAGTGAGAGGAAAGAAGATTGATAATGATGGCAATGAGAGGGAGGAAAGAAGGAGGATGATGACAATAAGAGAAAGAAGAAGGATGATGGCAATGAGAGAGAGAAGAAGGATGATGGCAATGAGGGAGAGAGGAAAGAAGGATGATGATGGCAATGAGGGGGAGAGGAAAGAAGGATGATGGCAATGAGGGGGAGAGAGAGAGAGAATGAAGAAGGATGAGGGCAGCAAGAGAGAGAAGGGGAAAGAAGGGCAGCAGTGACAAGAGAAAGTAGCCTGATGGTGATGAGAAAGAGGAATGAAGAATAAAAATACAAAGAAAAATCAGGGAAGGAGAAAAAAGAAGAAAGAATTAAAAACAAAAGAGCACAAAGAAGAATGAGAGCAGAAAATGCCTCTTTTTTTTTTGAAAATATCACCAAGGAACTTTTTTTTGCAGTAAAACATAATTCAGTTCATTTTACATATTTCCTGTGCAGTAAAATTATATAACTATTATTTTGCTCTCTGGATTTTACTAAATAAATTTAATCAGTTGCAAGTTAAAATTTATCCAATATATGAGGAAATATAACTATACACCTCATTAATACTGTATATGTAATAAACAAAAACAAAATTTAAAACAAGCATCAATTATATGTTTCCTCTGATGTTTGAAGGGAATTTATTTCAGAAAATATGTGTAAAAATAACCCAATATGTATTTATAGTGACAAATACGGAAAAATAATTCAGTGTAGTGAGAACTTCATTAGTTCATGGTATGCTTTAAGTACATGATGAATCATAGAAAAACTTTCTTCAAATATGCAGAGAAAGAAAGTAAAAGCCAGCAATTTGTTTATTCTTTTGGTGGAGGAAGAAAAAAGCCTTGAAATTCTTTGGTCCCTAACATGAACATTTTCAGCAGTAGCAGCTGCAAAAGGTCAGAATTGTAGGGAACAATATGTGGAACAAGTGGAGTAATTCAGTAACAGGTTGAAATAGGGAAGGAAAAAAAAAATCAATGAAGCCTTTGAAGCTAAGGCAAGCTTTTATCTGTTAGGAATGAGTCATTGCAGATGGAAATCTAGGATTTAGCAGATGCCAAATTAAGCAGACTTTCTTACAATGCAAGCCTTCATCATGGATTCACAATTTATTCTCCTGAATTTTTAAGCCAAGGAATACCATCACATTTTTGAGTTTCATTTTTTTTTTACCATATTTATTATTTAAATTAATTTTTGTTAAAGATGTTTGATATTTTTGAAACCATTCATAAATATTTCAAAAAAGCTTTCGAAGGAATGACAGAAAAAGATTTTTTTTTTACTTGTAACTCTGTTAATGTCAACAAATAAACATTATTTAAGAGAATTTTGCTTATAGAAAAATAATTACTGCAACTAGTAAAGTAAACAAAATACATTCTATGACATTGTTTTATACAAATAATCTTTCTCTTGTTTTTTTATACAAATAATCTTTCTCTTGTTTTTTTATACAAATAATCTTTCTCTTGTTTTTTTATACAAATACTTTGATGTTTTTTCATACATATTTTTTGATTTTTTTTCATACAAATACTTTTTCTCTTCATATTTTTTCATGCAAATACTCTCACTCTTCATATATTTTTTCATGCAAATACTCTCACTCTTCATATATTTTTTCATGTAAATACTCTCACTCTTCATATATTTTTTCATGTAAATACTCTCACTCTTCATATATTTTTCACTTTTCCTGTGTTTTTCATATATACTTTCTTCCTGTTTTTTTTCATACAAATACTGTCTCTTTTCCTGTTTATTTTTCATTCTCATACCTTCTCTCTTCATGTTTTATTTCATATACATTTTCTCTTTTTTTCATACAAATACTCTTTCTGTTCTTTTTACATACAAGTATTTTATCTCTTCCTGTTTGTTTTTCATACAAATGTGTTCTCTTATCTTGTTTATTTTCATACATACTGTCATTTTTTCATACAATTCCTTCTATGATTTTGCACAATATAAGAACACTTTCAATGACAGAAACTAAATTTATAATTCCACATAGTAAGTTCAAACAATGGCACATAGAAGTCATTTTTGAACTTACCATGTGGAATTATAAATTTAGTTTCTGTCATTGAAAGTGTTCTTATATTGTGTAAAATTTAAAACATGGCATGTTTGTGACATGAGTCATGGTAAAAAAAAAAGTGAAATATTACAACCATTGTTTTCAATATTGATCAGAAGATCTCATTAATTCTCAATACAGAAATGTACAGGAAGAAGATTCAATTTTGGTTTTATTTATGAGAGGACATGCTCAATGCTGTTCACTCTACTTAGAATAGAAAAATCTGCTTGAAAATTCCTCAATTAATTTTTAAGGAACAATGTAGATGGTGGTGAAGTAATGGGGGGGGGGTAGGGAAAACCCAAGCAAACAGATTGACCTAGGTCACAAAAACTCGGTTAGGCTAATTGTGGAGAGGAGAGACTTACTGAGAGGAACAAGTAAGAGATAAATGATGTTCTGATGCGAGTTTAATTCATTTTGAGTTTAGCCTAACCCCAAGGATTCCTAATAACTGTATTTTAATATTTAGAAAACAAAATAATTGTTAATAAAAATGATTTAATAATCTAAAAGAAAAATTGTAGGAGAGTTATAACTCTGAGTAAATAATTATAAACCTCCTAACATTTATATATACAAAAATATTTGTGAAAATGAGAAACAGCATAACATGGAAACAACAAAATGATTATTATTTATTATCTGGTTGTTAAGTGGTGTTGGAGAAATGAGCAACAGTAATCACTTATGTGCCATGCATGATACATACTTAGACGATCATGTATCTTTCGATACATGACTGATGAGGCTGATTTTTTTCTGCAGTAGGTTGCCATTTCTTTCTGCAGTAGACCAGTTGTCATCCAAAGCAAGCTATAGAACCTGGTCTGTTCTGCTATTTGCTAAGGGGAGAAGAAGAGGATTCATACCCTTCCCAAGGGTGTTAGCTTGTAAGCGAATGTAAAAGATTCAACTAGCATTCAAACTCAACTCTCCAATTTCTCAGTCCGAGCCACTATCCATTACTCCACCATGTCTCCTGCAACAGTAATACTGGGTAAAATTGTGAGTTTGGAGTCAAATGTAGGTCAAATAGGGATCAGAATCTGACAGAAGGATAAGATAAAGAATAAATATACAGTCTTTCTCATGTGATTTTTTAATATATATGTGTAATGAGTGTCCAGATAATTTAGTCTGGGGGTTCTCTTACCATGGAATTTTGTTGTGTGCTAAAAGATAAATGTTTCTATTAAGGCCTGAACAAGGGGAAGGAGATGAAATTTTGTTAACTCATGTGTTAATGATCCGTCTACGTAAATTGCTTGTCTGATGGTGAGAATGTCACATGTTTGTGTGTATATAGAGGAGAAAAGTGGGGTCTATTCTCATTGGTTTAGAATGAGTGAATTAATTATAATTATAATTGTTATATTTTATTATAATTATTTTTGACACTATAATTAATTTTTATTTATTTTTTTATGGACATGACTAATTGAAAAGGAAATAAATAATGTAACCAAGGAAATGATTTTAAAATATTGATATATAATAATCGTTTTGAAGAATTCCAGTTTGAAAATAATTTAAATATTTTCCTTTCACTTCCTTTTATATAAACTATGAAAACACTTTTATTTTCTAATTATCTTTTATGTCAGAAACAAAGAAAAGAGTACTGAACTGTTTTGTAATAACACTCAGTGAATGCTGGACAATTTCCTCACAGATGAAGAAGAGACTTGAAGAAACAGAAATGTAATAACACTCAGTGAATGCTGGACAATTTCCTCACAGATGAAGAAGAGACTTGAAGAAACAGAAATGTAATAACACTCAGTGAATGCTGGACAATTTCCTCACAGATGAAGAAGAGACTTGAAGAAACAGAAAAACAGAAAAAACACTCAGTGAATGCTGGACAATTTCCTCACAGATGAAGAAGAGACTTGAAGAAACAGAAATGTAATAACACTCAGTGAATGCTGGACAATTTCCTCACAGATGAAGAAGAGACTTGAAGAAACAGAAATGTAATAACACTCAGTGAATGCTGGACAATTTCCTCACAGATGAAGAGGAGACTTGAGGAAACAGAAATGTGGTTCTACAGAAGGATGGTGAGGATACCATAGGCCGAACATGTGAACAACAAAATTCTAGAAACAATGGAAACAAAAAGGACACTTATACTTAACATCAGAAAGAAACAGTTAAAATTTTTATGGTACATAACAAGAGGGACTGCAAAATTTGATACTCACAGGCCAGATGGAAACAATGCATAACCTACCTAGTGAGCTTGAAGATATAAACAGTGAGGCAAAGTTTAGGAAAGTTAGGAAAAAGACAAAAATTTATTAAAAGCTACAAAGGACAGGAAATTGTGAAGCACCATAATCACCTTCATCCTACATGGCACATAGATGAAGAAGATCTTTAATTGAATCTTGTTGAAAGTTAAATTGAACGATCATCTAATTAATATTATACTGGACACACTGGGTGGAGAAGCACCCTGAATAAACAACTAATGTCAGGAGAAAGTGAACAATGCAACAGAAGACAAGCATACCTGCAGAAAAGAATGCTGCAGCATAGACAACAAACAAACAATTCACAGGTATGACTTGTGTGACAGAGAATGCCACTTGTGCATCGACCTGTTCAACCACAGGCAGCAATACTCGGTCAGATACCGCAAATTTCCATATATATGTTTTCCTTTACCTGTCATGTGATCTAATTATTTCAAGATGAGGTTGACTGTGCTTACTCTCTGGCAATCTGTGTTCAAACCCAAATGTCGGCAGCGATATTTTATTCTTATATAATTTATATCTTAAAAATATTTAAGAGACTCATAGAATTTTCAAGGAATGTATTTGAAGGCATGTAAGACCACACCTATTTTTCTACAAAAAATGGTTTAAAAAGAATCCAAAAAGCATATGAGAAGTTGAAGTTATTTGATCAAGTCCAACTTCACATTAATGTAATATCAAATGGAAAGAAGGATTTTTATATGCTATCAAATATGGTATTTATTCTGAATTAAAAATAGAACTTTCTCTAAAATTAGAATCCATATGACATTAGCAGAATTATTTTTAAAATAGATTTTTTTCACTCTCTTGTATTCAACACATGCAAAAAAGGATTTTTATAATAAAACAATGATAAAAGTGACTATGATATATATGATGATAGATTTTATAAGAAACTGAATTGAAAAAATAGAAATAATAAATTAATTTCATTCAAGCCAATTTGTATAACAGTAAATATTGGAAGTCACCTTCCCATCACTTTATATATATATATATATATATATATATATATATATAATGTCATCCACAGACAGACTGTTTCGCTGTTTCACAGCTCATCAGTGTGGCTAGACATCCGGTTGCCTCTAGCTAGGATCGAAACCCGACTGAATTGGTGTCAGTCGGAGATTCTAACCATTAAGCCGTCGGCGCACGGTAGGGATGAAAGTGAATTTTTTAGCGTATTTATTTTTAGAAACACGCCCAGTGACCGACAGTGACTCAATTCGCATCTGCGAAGAGTCTCGCTATATAGCTATAATAGTCACTGTTTACCAACCCACACCTCGTCCCCAGAGAGCTCAACTGAAATTGATATTTCAGGAGCCAATACATACATACACACACTGTAAAAGGACAATATGAAAAAATGCAAAAGGAAAAACTACATTATCCAATGTGTTTCATCCTCTGAGGGACTTAAGGCAAATGTAGGGATTTTAATTTTTGACAAGTATTCATCTATTTTGAAAAACCAATAACACTTTTGCTCTTGTAAATAAAAAATCTCACAAAATGAAATGCATCAGCTAAGATAGGTTTTCCTTTTGTCTTTATATATATATATATATATATATATATATATATATATATATATACCTATTCTGTATTTATGGGTAAAAGTGTTCAATATCAGGGATACAATTTGTGTAAATATAAAAGTGGACACTGAGGTCAATACCAAGTGGTGGCAGCCTGTTTTACGCTTGAATGCAATCTTCAGACTATCTCTCTCTTTCTCTTTCTCTCTCTCTCTCTATATATATATATATATTTCAACCTAGCTTTGTTGTGAAGCATTTTATGGCTGAGTAGGTCTAAAAGCATGCCAGACTATATGGTAATTTCCCCTACATAAGGGGACACACGTTTGAATCCTGTCAAAGGGTATATTAAATACTCTCAAAAACTAAACAAAAAATACACAAGGCTGGTAGGTGAAAAAACAATGCCTACTCAAACATGTTCATTGACTAAATATGATAATATATATAGTAATAATATACATATATATGAGATAAAAATATATAAATTTTTATGTATCAATATTGGGGAGAAAAAATATATAACAAAATGGAAAAAGTTTTTGTTTGATGTGTCTAACCCTTCATCAGACTAAATTTGTTATATTTTTGTGACTACACATGAATGAGGGATGGTGGGTATTTTAAATTAAAATTTTTTTTTTATATAATCTAGCCATTAAAATTCCAGGCATCCCTCATTTGTGATTGAACTAACATAACAAATTTAGTTCAATCATGTCCTAAAGGACAAAATGCATCACACAAAAAAAATTTTTCCCTAATATATATATATTTTATATATATATATATATATATATATATATATATATATATATATATATATATATAAAAACATATAAAAATAACATTTTTTTATTATTTACCTATAAACAATTTCACACATTTCAGTGCTATTTTCAAAATGAATATTTTCTTTATGCTCTCAGGTTCTGTAGTTCTTTTTCACATTTTTCAAAAGGAATGCATCAGTATGCTGATAGTTAGATTATAATTTTCTTTCTTTTGTTTATTAATTCATTCCTGTTCTTGAATTCTATGATCTTCAGCTTCTCCTCCATATATAGATTGCAATTTAGGTTTTCTTCATCTTTTTTATTATATCCCATTCTATTATTTGTTTTGTACACACACATACACACAAACATTCATATAC